GATACTTTGTGCTCAATTAACCTTCCCAAAGCTTTTTTCCAGCTAATGAATCCTGTAGTACACAATGCTGATGTAGCAGCAGAGGCATTTTTTGGTAAATCTCACAGGGTGTACAAAAATTGCATTATTAGTTTTAGAATATATAAGCCATGATCTGTTATTTTTTTCATTATTTGTTAATGTTCTGTGCCACAATGAAGATGTCAAATGTCTTCCACCACGTTCAGGTCCTAAGGTCTACATTTTCAGGATGTTTTTCAGCTAATAATATAGTTCGACTGCTTAAGAAAGATTGTTGCCGATCGTTAATTTTTTTCTGTGATTGGCCAACTACCTGGATCCAGAAAATCAACAGTTTTTAAGTCTTCTTTCTGCAGCCCACACACCTAAATGAGAAAATACTTTATATCCTAATTTCATGTCCTCTAGATGTTTGAGGTCGATGAAGAAGGTTGCTCTCTCAGTTACTGAAATATAGTCTGTTTGAGGATGATAGATGAAGATTCTTCATCTTGGTCATTCAAATTGCAAGAAATATCAATATCCTTCAGAATCTGGGCACCATTGGAAGTTGCGGCAGGGTCTGACGGTTCGTCTTTTCCGTGAAACCATTTTTTTCACTTTAGCTGCAAATTGTTTTCCCTGTTCGGTCCTATCTTCTGCTCTTTTTCTATACTCTGCCCCTGAGAGTTTTTTCTAGACACTCTCATAATTTCTTTTACCCTAAATAATATACAGTATAACATGCTTTAATAAGAAAAGCTAAAAATTGATGTAATTACACTCGATGGTCTTAGGGCCGCGTCGCGGAGGCACGCGCTGACTAAATGGTTGCGTCTCGCTAAATATGGTGAGGAATACTGGAAGCAGGCATATTAAAAGAAAATGAGAGAACAAAACCCCTCCAAACTAAAAAACTTTAAAAACTATAAAAAATAAAAATTCATTTTTAAAACCTAAGTTGCCGACTAGCTGCAAAAAATCAAAATACCTTACTTCATTTCTGTTGTATATTCTGGACGTGGATTAATTTGAATTATTTCATTGGCCCAGATTGGTCCAAGGTTAATTTGTATTTGGTATTAGGAAAGAGTTATAATTTACAACACTTCCCCATTATTTCGCAAGAGGCGTCGATATGGAAACAAGACACTCTATGCTATCGTTTTGTTTTTCATTCGAATATTCCTGCCTAGAGAGAGGATAACAGAGGGACTTTAACCATCACTTACAGGGACAAAGGACCAAGGAGTTTACTGAGTACCTTTGTAACAAAATTACATGTTGGGTTGGCAGAGGGACAGGGTCATCTGATGTTGTCATAGAAACGCCTGGAGTCCCTCTATTGTTCTCTCTCTGATCTTATCCTTAGAGTCGTATTCGGCTGTACTTAGCTTACTTTTAACTGTTTGTTCCATTAAAAGATTTCCGAGTAATTATAAATATTCTTAAAAGAGGTTTTAAACCTGGCTTTAAAACTATTAATGTTGTATCAAAATTACACAACATTCCAAATAAGATCCAGCGCCACGCTTGAATTTACCGCCCTCAGAAGTTACCGCAAGCCGGTCTGGGGGCAAGCCGAGCACAGACCCCGACTTGCCCCCCCCCCAGATCCGGGATTGCCAATACAGAAAGGTTAATTATCTGCCCCCCTTTTAAAAAAAGGCAAAGTTAAAATTATCCATAAAAATTATCTGCAAAAATTTGAAACCAATGCATGAAAAAATAACAATTTATAATAAATTTAACTTATTTTTTATTACATCTCTCAACATTTTCTGTAACTTTAAACGGGGATAAAATTTTAAACCTAACTCAGTATACTATTGAAAATAAAACATGTAGAACTGGCATGTGAAAATAAAACTGCAAAGTTTTATCCATCAACACCTGTGGTGTATAATTGCAACATAAACATCTTATTACCCATAGAGGTAAAATGATGAAAACAGTGCTCATAAGCTTCTATGTGGCTTAAAAGCCTCCAAAACTCTCATTCAAATTTTGAAATTCCACTACAGGGTTTTGTAATCATATTTTTCACAATATTCCATCTAAAATTTTACCATATTTCTTTGCATTTAAGCCACACCATTTTTAAGACATAAAATTACAGTACAACTTAAATTCAAAGCGAATAGTTCACAACTTATTTTTGCCATTCTCACACTGCTATTTTAATTACTTATTTTTGCCAATTACCCATTCCTTAATAATTGTGTCTTAAATAATTAAGGTCTTAGAAATCAAAATTATTTTACAATAGGTATTTTGCTAGCTATTTATTAAAAAAATTACATTTTATTATTTTTCCAAAATTCTATTTAATGTACGAGGCGTATTCGGAAACTAAGTACCGTTTTGAAAAAAAAAATAGTAAAACAATTTTTTCGAATCCAATTTTATTTTTACATGAAAATACATGTCTTAAACTATTTTTCAACATAGTTTCCGCCAATGATCAAACACTTGTCATAGCGGGTGACCAGTTTTTGTATACCATCGTCAAAGAAACTTCCCGCCAGTTTCGATAACCACGACTCCACACTTTTCGGTGAATGAGTGTGTCTCCACTCCATCGATTGTTGTTTCGATTCTGGTGTGAAATGACACACCCCAGTTTCATCACCTGTCACAATTTAGTTTAAAAAAAAGTTTTCTCCCTCATCACTGTACCGCGTGAGAAAGAAATGTCAGGGCACTACCAAGTCGCTTTGTTTTGTGAACATCAGTGAGCATTTTTGGAACCCATCGGAAACACAGTTTGCGATAATTCGAGCGGTCAGACACAATTTCGAACAAAACAGTACGTGAAATTTGTGGAAATGCCTCTGAAAGAGTTGTCATTGTGAAGCGTCTGTTCTCATGAATTGCTTCATCAACTTTCCTTACCAAATCATCGGTGACAACAGAAGGCCGACCACTCCGAGCCTCGGCGTGGACATTTGTTCGACCTGCATTAAACATTCTTACCCACTTTCTCACCATTTCATCACTTATCGCGTATTCACCGTAAACCTGTGTCACTTGACGATAAATTTCGGCCGGTTTAACATTCCTCGCGTTCAAAAATTTAATCACAGCACGAATCTCACAGTCAGCGGGAGAACTAATTGTCTTAAACATTTTGAATGTGCACAGCAAACTGAAAACACAACATAGAGCAACCAAAATGGCGACAATTGAAAGTCAGTGAACAAGAAAGACTAGTGCGCATGCGCGGGACGCCTACCACGGCGCGGCGACGGCGCTAGAATGAAACGGTACTTAGTTTCCGAATACGCTACGTAAATTCCAAAGCAGCTATTTTTTACTTATTGTACTGATTTTAAAATACTACTGTAGCTGAAATTTGAAGCAATATGTTAATTTTACGATTTTTATCAATTATTGGTAGTTTAATAATTTTTGTTTCTTCATCTTTTGGCCAATGAGAACAAGTTGGAAAATACTGTTTTTTCACCTTGGTTTCTTATTCCAGACAGTTTGAATAAGATGATTGCATATGTTTTTCCTCATACATAATCTAAATAAAGACATACTTTTGAGAGGCTTGCACACAGTCATCCCTCCATTATTAAATAACACTTGAGTACTTTATAGTAATCAAATAATCTAATCCAATCTGGTATCATTTCTATTTCTATTCTACCCAGCTCTGTACATATCTCCTGTTTTTATTTCAGGAATTTAATCCAATTTTATTACCTTAATAAAATTAAATTCATTGCTCCTTTATTTATGCAATCATTGCAGAGGATACTTTTAATAATTTTGCATAATTATTACTATATACGTAATATTAGTAACATCCTGCAAAATTCTGAAGAAATTTACAAATTTGGCATGATGGATGCTTGAAGAGTGGGTAACATGCAAAAAATCTCCCATGAAATTTGAAATTTATTTTGTCAAAAAAATTATCATCTAATCTTTGTTGATTCAAACAAAGCACCTAATTTTAATTTCTATAAAAAATGCGGGTAGCAAGACAAAGTTTGTTGATAAGTATCTCTTGAAAATTTATTTAATAAAAATTTCATTATGTTTACAGTAGTCACCACATAATGTGACTGTGATTAAATTTATCATTTGGATATTGTTACCGTGTTTCCATAGTTCTGCTCATTTGTATACGAAAAATATCGAAACTGCATTGCTTATTGTGATCAACAATTTGATTAATATGATCAAAACATTGTCAAGTAAATTTTTTAAACCGAAGTAAAGAAATTAAATAAACGATAAGTCACCAAAATAAGTTCCAAATAGACTATAAAAACTGCCAAGTGGCATAAAAATATTGCCATGGCATAAAGTCACCAACCAGCTTGGTTTCGATTTTAGTCAACCATTTAAAACTCGGGGGAAGGGGGGGAGAATCTTAGTTTGACATCGACTTTCAATAACTCTTAATTTTGAGGACAATCAGATATAAGTTCCTCTTTTTCAAAAACAAAAACATTTCTGCAGAATATATATTTCCTCAAAAAAAATTTCTTTGAAAACATCCCTGCTATGCTTTTCATCCTAGTTTCATTTTAATACTTACAATGATTATAAGTTCTCTTCCTAAAGGCATGCTCTCCAAGCACTAAGATTAGAAATAAAGAACCAGTCAAATAATTTCAAAAAACATTATGAACAGTTCATAAATGAATTTTTGCAATAAAGATATTGTGACCAGTTCATAAAAAAGCTTTTAGATTTTCCTAGTTAAAAGCTATGAAAGTACTTATTTATGTGTTTCTAGTTATATTTATATTAAATTAGTTAAATTCCATCATATTTTTGAAGGATATCTTTTCTCATCATTTAATGTTATCAAAATAGCTGAGGAGAAATGCGACTACATTAAGTGGTGTCTACTGTACAATACAGGTAGAAAGTATTCACTTATAAAAAGAAGACAAGTCTATTCTCATATTTCTTTGGAATTAGTTCAAAATTAGAAATTAAAAAATGAATTTAAAATTAGAAAACAAAATTTTACATACATGAGCAGCCTCTGTGTTGCTTAAAAATCTTGGTATAAAATCAAAACTTCTAAACTCTTCATTTACACACTCCATGTTAGACATTTTACTGGTCAAAAGTAGAACTTCTTCTTCTGACACCTATATTAGTTTAAAATTTAAATAATTTATTACACAAATATAATATAAACTAAAAAAAAAAGTTTACACAATGGAAACGAATGAAACAATTCTGAGAATAATATAAAATTTTACTATTTTTTAAACTGTTAAATCTTATATATTGAAAATAATTAAAATAAGTTAAAAGTTTACACAATGAAAACAAATGAAGCAACTTCAAGAAGTCTATAGAATTTTATCTTAAAGTGTTCCTTAGCTAAGTCTATTTTCATCTGATGAATAAATCTAAAATTTTGCTACTGATGAATGAAAATGGATCTAAGAACTAAATGAAAATAGATCTAAGAACTTTTGCACCAAGAAGAAGACCTATATATTCCCTTTTTATTTACATTCTGTATAATTCTAGGAATTTACTGTCAAGTAAAAACACTTTTGACCACAAATTTCCTTCAGTATTTCAATCAATTAGAAGTAAATCATTTCTAATGTTAAATTTCTTCGCTTAGTCTCTCTGTATACACATATTCATACATATATATTACAAAAGTAATAATGATAGTCAATAAAATTTACCCTTGGTAAACTATAAGCTGTTGTCCAGATCGAAAGCAGTTGAGAGAATGAAAAATAAAATATTTTATTAAATTTGTTATAGTTATTAATTTATTTATAGATTAAAAGAGGATTAATTTTTTTTAAATTATAGTAAATAAAGATAGACTTAAAAAGTCAAGAAAGCCACAATTTAAAACAATCTGCAAATAAAACAATAAGTAGCAAGTTAAAAGACTTTTTAAGTTAAAAAAAAATCCACAAGTGCCAACATAAAAGAAAATACACTACGTGCAAAAAGTAATGTTTTTCTACCAGCAAATTTCTTCTAAGCTTAAAATCTCTCACATAATTTTAGGACCAAGGATTTTATGTTTAATAATACAGTAAATAGACAAATTCACAATGAAATGAAGTCATATTTTAATTCTCTCTAATATTTCAAAATCAAGTATGCCACTTATATTTCCTTCCAGTGTTGCAAATAAATTAACATTTAAATTAATATTACATGGAATGTAATTAAACAGATGAAAACAATACTGTTAATCTGCTAAAAACTGTAGAAGCAAAGAAATATGAGTAAGTAAGAAAAGCATAATTAAATAGAAAAAACTATACTGATATTAATATGCATGTTACGCATTCATAAGACATTGAGAAATAGTATAGTATAAGGCACACATGAGGAAAGAAATTTTACTAGTGATGATGTTGAGATATCAAAGCTAGAAAATAATATTATGAGGGAAAATGTGATCAGTTAAATAATAAGTTTTGAACTGGAAGCTTTAGCAATCCATATTTACCTTCTACATGTTATGCTATAAATAAGCTCAAAACTCAGTTATCACAGTCATTGTAATAAAACCAAAAACACTACAATAATATTACAGCATTTGCTTATGACCTGCAAAGAACTTCAAAATAAAGAGCATTATATGTAATAAATACCATTTTGAAAGCTGAAACCTAAAAAATTCAAATTATGAAACCTAGGTAGATCCCAAGTGCAAAAAAAAGACAATACTGAACAAACATGCTATTATGCATATAGAATACAAATGCACCTTTACATAAACAATGTTGAAACAGATATGATTAATTTTATTCAAGAATGATAAAATAAATATTCTAAACAGTTAACTAAAATACAAGGGAAGTATTTATATATAAATAATAAGCTAATAAGAAGCAATTAGTTGAAAGATGAATTACAGTTAACTTACTGTAGATTGCATTATTAAACCATTGGATAGTCTGCTTCGAGACTGTGCATCCCGTACCTTCTTCCACATCAAAGACTGAAATTTATATATATATATATATATATATAGAAATTTCAACTTTTATATTATTTAAGTCTTCAACTATTTAATATAATATAATATAATAAAGGTCATATAAAATACAAAGTAATTATTTATTCAAGACACAACTATTTAAATCAATGAAAGTTTACAAACATTATTAAAATATTTCCATTTATAAAATTACACTCATTACAGTTCCTTATTAGTATATGGTAAAAACCATCAGAATAGTATTTCTATAACCATAAAAATACTTTAATGCTTTAGCCACATTCTACAGCCATAAAAATATTTAATTTAAAAAATTAAATTTTGTATAGTTTTAGCACAATGCTGTCTCAATGCAAAGCTAATTTTTGTGATAGAAAAGAACATCTGATAACCACAAAAATTTTAAGTCACTTCTAATATTAAGTCATTTTTATATAAAAAGAGACATCTGGAAATTACTTTGGAACTAAGATGAACTGTTGTTGAATTAATAAATAAAACATATGTAAACTTTTAAATTAGAATAAATGGAAACAAAACTTTAAAAAAAGTACAATTTAAAATCAGGAAAGCACAATTTTACTTACATGCATTATACAAATAGCACAGTAAACAGCAAATGTGCTGGCAATTTCTTCATCAAACTGAGTGAAGCGAGAACCATTTATTTTATTGCACAATTCTGCAACTCCAAGAACACCTGGAGTAAAGCATGTAAATAATTTCTTCAGCCCACTTTATTATACTTAATTGACCATAAATCACAATATGTGGAGTGCAAATCATGATGTTCTTACCATTATCATCCTTTATTGGGAAGCATAAAATGTTCCTGCAAAAAAGAAAAAAAAAAAAGGGGGGGGGATTTCAATAAAAATAGTAACTAATGCTCTAATTATTCATTTTTAACCATCACTTATAAAAGCTACATTTTTTTTTTGGTCAATTTTTCCTAAAATTAAAAAGAGTAGTTGCTTTAAACAACTGACATATGCATTTAAAATTAATTTAGAAAAAAATATTTATAATGATGTTCAATTAAAATCTACATATTTCCATAAAGGCATAATTAATTTTGAAAAATTTAATTGTTCTTCATTTCTGTTTCTTAATAGAAAAAAAGAAAGATAATCAAATGTATTTTACATACTTATGATCATGCTTTTTTAGCAGTTATACTATTTTCCCCCTTTAGCAACATTATGGATTTGTTGTTAAAACCTTTATAAAGTACATATCCCTCCTGCTTAAAATAAGTATGCAAAACAGTTGTCACATTTGTGAGAAAACACATGGAAGAAAAAAGATTTCATCAAACTTAAAAGTTTTCTAACATGATTAAATATTGCATAATAAGATAGCATATAATTTTAAATAAGTTCTGAGTAAAATTTAAATAAGTTCACTTTAAATTCTTTAGCTATAGTATTTAACTACGTTACCTTGTTTACATTTTTCTTTCCTCTGTAAAAAAGCAAACCTTTCTACAATGGCATTGAGTGCTGCTATTACAGTTTGATCATTTCACATGAAATCTTTACTCATTCATTTAAATTTTTGTGTTAGGTTTTGTTAAAAATGAAAAATTATTAATTAACATTCAGAACAAAAACGAACAAATATAACACTTATTCTGGGAGAGTGAGGATTTCATTGTAAAGTTTCTTTAAATACAAATTGAACAATTTTATATCATTTTTAGGAAATTATCTAAGTGCTATAGTCACATACATTGTAAAAACATTCAGTTATTAAAACTTCTGATTCATAAATGGTATCAAAAATAAACATTCAAGTTAGACTTTCAAATAATTCTGTTATTAAATGCAAATGGAAAATGTATACAAAATTACCTTGTTTTGAAACCAGTTGTATCATCAATTTTACGGTAGAATAATGGATGTGTATATGCATCACTAATATTCACAATTTCACCTGAAAAAGATTAAAGACAAATAATATTATGTAAAAATATTAATTTTCCTGCAAGATAGTTGCTTATTAGTAAAAGTGAAAAAAGTAGTTAAAGAATTATATTCATTAAATTTCTTTCTTTCTAGTTTTGAATATTATATATAAGACAGCTTTTCATTACATTAGGTGAAATAAACCTCAAATTAAAATTAAATTTTGAATTTGCATCATACAGCTATAAAATTTTAGCTATGCACTACTGCTAAACATAAAGCATATGTACATAAAGTATATGTAGTGAAGTATGGAACAAGATACTGTAATAAAAAAACTTGTTCAGATATACAGTAAAATATAATATATAAAAATGCTTATGAACACTTGTGAATTAGAATGTGGAGATCCTCTTTACTTTTCCATGAACAGTTTGGAAACACATATAACTTTAATATAGCTCTAGAAACACCAAAAACTCCACTTACATAAAAAAGGATTGAAAAAGAAATAAAAGCTAACTGAAAGGAGAAAGATATTGTTTCAAAAAACCATAAAAGATTAATTTATATGACAGCAGAAAAATAATGATCAAGATACAATAACATTTAACAAAGATATACGATGAACTAAAATGCAGTTATACAGAATATTTTTCCTCTAATTTCTACATTATGCATTTACTCACATAAACTCATCTAGACAACACACTCATCAAATACTCTTCTAATCAATTCTGTTTTATTGGTAATAAATATAAGATTCATGCTATCAGCATGGAACAATGAATATTTTTCACTTTATGATTTACAAGTGAAATCCCATGAAAATGTCATGTTAAATCATTATAATTAAATTTGTAATTATATGATAATATTATGTGCCATACATTTATTTTGATTCACGTATGACATGAAACTATGAAATTTTTCATATCCTTCTCTCTGCTATATTCCACCTTCAGACAAAATTTACATTTTTAACAGACTTACATCTTTGTTTTGCAGGGCATGGAGGTACTCTTTTTTTTGTATGTGAACATATTCTAATAACTTTAGAAATTAAGTGTCATTACTAAAATTTTATATCTTATTACCTTGGCTACTTTAGATATATTTAACTTTTCAATGATCATGCTTTTTTGGTCAGTTGTGAAATCAGTTGTCAGTGTGATTTACATATAGCATTTACTATATTGATTAAGCACAATACCTTTTTGAACTATAGTTTTCATAATTTTCGAGTCATTAGAATAAATTCTAGATCATTAAATGAATTAAGAGAGAAATTATATTAAGGAAAAAAGTATGTACACAAAAGTAGGGTAAACCTAATGGCAGTATAAAAGAAATAAAGCTTAAGAGAGTTGATGATTTTCTGTTCAGATAGAAAATATGACAAGTAAATTTATTAATCTACCTTTTTTTCTCTGATTCAATTACAAAGTTTCTATGCTTTATAAATGTAAAATGCATACTGCAGAGAAATATTCAGAAATACTGCATCCCATAATAAGCAGTCTCATATTAAGAACAAGTAACTCTATTTTTAATGCATTAACAATCAAACTTTTAGGGGAGGGGGAAAATCAAACCTCACTTCTTTGCAACTACATTTAAAAAATAAATAAACTATGTTTATTTTTTAGTTTTTTATTATTGCAGAAGAGAAGAAATTTAGTGGTTTTCTGAAAAAAAGCTTTTAACTTCACAGTGATAGCACAAAACACTGAAATGTCAGGTAAATTAGCATACTCTGTGTATAAAATTAGTTAATACCTCTTCCTTCTACAAAAACATAATAAATTATACATAATTCCATGCATGCCAATCTTTATTGGTGAAGTGCCACTACTAATTAATATCAATAAATATAACTGCCAAATCACAAGGATCAAAATCACGAGTCCTTCATATTCAAGTAGTGCATATGACTACAGGAAAAAGCTTCCGAGGCTATATAAATACCACAAAATCACTAGCTTAAAGTTACCATTCAATATTATGACCTCCATCACTTGTTCTAAGTGGTGCACACTGAATTCACAGCTATTCTGCAGTATTTGACCACTCACTTTACTCCTGATGTCCAGGCAACAGCATACCACCATTAGATATCCAATGTCTCACGAAGACTGTTTAAAAAAACAAGGCAACTTTAGAAGCTGCACACCAACAGCTGCAGATGGTGTTTCTTCTCGGATTATGAAGGAATTACTGAGTCAGCTCATGTATTAGCTGCTCATCAGATTAGTTTAAAAGCAGAAATGAAGGAGTGGAGAAAATACATATGTAAAGAAATTTTGAATAAAACTAGGGATAATATGGTCTACATGCAGGGGTGTTTGTGGGACCTCAAAAAATCCCCTGAAACTCTTACTACTTACTACCCACATTTTGGAGTTTCGAGAAGGGGGAGGAGAGAAATGAAAAATTACAATTATGAAGTATTGAATGACCTAATTATAAAAGTTCAATGAATTACTTTTTTTGCAAAATTAATAACCATAAATTTTCAAACATATAAACTACTACATTTTATGTAAATATTTTAAATTACCTGAATTAATTCTTTAAAAAAAAATTATCTAATTTCTGCTGCTTTTTTTTATTTTCTGATGTTTGTGGGCTTGTCTTTCTTTTGTGGTGAACTTCATAATTGCAGGAAGGTTGACTTTTATTTTCCTCATTTACAGTTGAAGAAATTTCCTCGAGAACTGCACATGCAGAGGTAGAAGCAGTTTGCTTTTCTGCTAATGTAGAAGGTTTTTCAGAGACTTTTATAGGTGACTCATCTGAAATACATGTTTTTAAGTCCTCTTGATATGTTTTCCAACTTCTGTTCATATTCAGTAAGAGATCTTTGTGAATTGGATCAGTCATTGGATTTTTTTAAGCCATATTTTTCACATGAGGTTTCTTTAGAAGCCATTAAATCATATTTAATAGTCTGCACTGCATCTAGGGAATCAATCTTAAGAGAGGTTCTATAGTCAGTGACAAGTGTATCCATTAAGTTGAACGCACTTTCCACTAATAGGCCATGGAAGCAGCTAAGGCAGGCTTTGACCAATTTAGCCAATGTAGGATACTTATAATCATTTGTGAAATCATCTTTTAAATTAAAAAACTTTAGACCAATATTTATCAATTGTACACTTGATTTCCACTTTCATCAGATGTGTAGAGCATTTCTTTGGTGATATCAATATCACTCTGGTATAACCTTATTTCAGCTTCTACTTTTGACTTTTCATTATCACTAAAAAATATGGGACATAAAAGATGATAATTTTTCAAAAGCTAATATTGTACTGGTTTTACCTCTTAGCTCTGGATCTAATGCTGTAAAAACTAATTAGATATGAATTTTTAAGGGGTAATTTCTGTTTCATATGCTGTGCTGTATTAGTATAAGCTTTCATCAGAGAAATTTGGAATTCTTTTGCTATTGGATGATTTTTTGATAATTTCTTCAGGAGAGTGTGAAGCTTCTGCACCAGTAAATATTACTTTGCTAGGTAGATGGAATTCTGGATTTGTGACATCAACCTTTAATAAATCATTATAAGATGTGCACTCTATATTTTCTGGCTTCATAAAAAAAGAGAAAAATTTTGCCATCAATTTATAAATACTGGAATGTATTAAATGAAGCATTGGTTTTTTTTTTTTTTTTTTTTTTTTTTTTTTTTTTTCTTGTTTAAAATAATTTAATATATGTGTTGAACTCTGGTAATACTGCTGAATATAATGCCATATGCAATAAAGTTTTGTTTTGCATAACAAATAACCCATTTAGTATTCTTTTTTTCCGAGCTAAAGCATCCTTTGTGAGTTGTTGGGAATGCAAGCAAGAATACACCCCTTCAACAATTTTTTCTGAGCTGCAGAAATATTTCTTTTATTGTATACAGTTTCAACATAAGAAAAATAATCCCCTTTATCAGTTTTATCCAAGTAGTGAAAATAAAATGCAATAAGAGCATCCCACAGATCTTTGATTCTTTCTAAAAACACATAAAATGTACACCCACCTATGGTCTGGTCTCTTCAAGGGCTTAAGTTTTTTAATGGCAAGGGATTCACAGATTTTGAAAAAATTTTCTCTTTACTGCAGCTTTTCATATCAAAATAGATGTCATCAAACAAATCTTCTAAGTATCTATCAAAACATGAAGCAAATTTTTTTGCACAGTTATTAGCTGTGTGACATGTGTCACCATCAATATCTAATAAGTGGGGTGCTTTGTTTGATCGTAGTCTAGTCTGGTTTCAACACCCTTTTTTTTTTCCACGCATGGTGTTACATGAGTCCATTAATACACTAATTAAGTTTGCCCATGGAATATTATTATCTTCAATAGTATTAACAACTGCTTTAAAAACAGCTTCTGAATTGCAAGATTCCATCTTTAGAGATGCAAAATGATGAACTACAACTTCATTTTGATTGTTGTCATAAAACTGCACCAATATTGCCAGTATACTTTCTTGAGCATTGCTAGTACTTTCATCCAAATTTAGAGAAAATGGAGTCTCCTTTAAAGTTTTAATGATATTTTCCTTAATAGTTTTTGCGAGCCCATATTTCATCTTATAACATGCAGTAGTCCTGGACATTTCCAACGAGTTTAGTGCCGTCTGATCGCGGCTCAACTGTTTGCAGAGTTCAATTAAATTGGGAGCTACATTGAAAGAAAGAGAATTCTCGGCGATAAACGAAGTTATTAATACCTCTTGGCGTGCTTTTCTTGTCACTATATCCAATGGCCGAGCATCAGTCTCCAGTAAGTCATCAGTATTTTTTGAATTAGCATAATTACTTAAAGTCATTGAATGTCTAATGCACTTTGAATATTTTATGTGCGTCACAGTTTTAGAATGATTTGTGAAAGCCTTGAATCCTTCCCCACCATACTTCAGCAGTGAGTTACAAAAAAACACAATATGCTTGTCCAGCAACATTTATTTTCTTGCACCATGTGCCGATGGTATCCCCATTACCATCTCTCCGTTCAATCCAATTCCACCTAAATGCATTCCGGACACCTTCTTCTAATTGTATAATATCACTATTTATATCGAGAAATTTCATAGTGAAATTCTCTTGCGTACATAAATAAAAAAATATTTCAATAAACGAAACGAAAAATTTACACGTGCATCAATAAATGAAACGAAAATTTTACACAGCGGAGAAAAAAAAGTTGAGAAGCGATCAATGACAAATAGCTAATACGGCGAAAAATCCCCCTTCTCTACTTATTGGCGCCACGCCAGGAGAGATAAGACCTTTGAACCCAGAGTCACGTGATCGCACATCTGGTCGAACGAAGTCTCTCCCTTTTTTTTTCTGCCGCGCGTACTTGCCGAAAAGAATCCAGAAGAGAATGTCCGAGAACCGGGGGAATGAGTCATAACTCGCAATAAGGAAAGAACAAAAAAGAAGTTTTTTCCCCCTTTTCACGCATTATCACTGCCTTTGGAGAAAGAAAGGAAAAGTTTTCACCACACACACTGACCTTGCGTTTTCTGCTTTCAAAGCAAACAAAATTACCCAGATCAAAATAAATAATTCATTATTATTCCTACTTCCTTTTGAACGACGATCCCCGGAATTTCCGGGTATCGAAGTTCAAAATCCCCGGAATTCCGGGGTTTCCCCGGAGCACAAACACCCCTGTACATGCTACTTTTCAGACTAATGGTTCTTTCTGCTAGAAAAGAGTAATTCTGAAAAGATAAAACATTTTCACATTAAGTACTGGTGGCATACAAATAGTTGAACGAGCCTTCATCAGAGCTAAGAACCCTGTACTAGCCCCAAGTTCTTAAACTTTAATTCAATCTAGTATCTTGTGAACTTATGGAGTGAACTGTTCAAGAACAACATTTTCTACTGTTTAAGGCAGCAGAATTGCGAACTGCTACCAAGAACATATGGCGTAAAATAACTGCAAAATCCTTTCAGCAGTTACTGATCTCAATTCTATGACAAAGAGCAAAAGGGACGAAGGTCCAAATTGAATGATACACTTCAATGTAATTCACACAAATTTAAACAAAATTCTTTTGCAGAATCTCCCTCCTTTACAAGTCACATCCGAGAACAGAAAATTCAATATATTTTTTATGAAGAGTATTTGTGTAAAACTAACAAATTATATCTGCTCACCTTTTAAAAGATTAAGATACTAGATTTTGATAAAATTTTCAAATTCAGATTTTGATAAACAGATGAAACAGATTTTGATGAAATTTTCAAACTCAATTTTTTTTTCAAATTCAGATTTAAAAGGAAAGTTTCTTTCCTTTTAATTTAGTCCTTAAGTGTCTAAGGTGCAGTTTATAAAACTAAATTAAATATAAAATAAGAATAATACTCAATAATAAAATGAATTTTGTATAATGTAACATGAATGGCCTCATGAAAGCGAAGCTTTGAACAAATAAGATTTTAGAGGCCAAGTCAACATTGACATAAATGGCTATCTCGTTAAATTGGCGAGATATTGCCAAGTTGAGGATGGTTTTGGCAACTGATTTTTGTCACCAAACTTGGAAAATATTTAGTGACATTTGGGTTTAGTTTCGGTATAACTATATTGATAGCCTTAATGCCTATGTAAATGTAACTGTATCCAGCCCTTATATCTAACTATAATCATATATGCCTTCCAGTAATTTCAAGAAATGGAAGGTACTAGAGATTTCTCAGCAGCCAGAAGAAAGCTATGTAAGAGTGAAGAGAGCATCAAATCTCAGTTTTTAGTTCAGAGCTAATTTCGAAGTATTGAGAGATCATGATGTGAGCTGGATGAGCTTTTCTTTTGTTGTGTTTAATGTTCTCAGTAGTTTGAACTGATAACTACTAATTGTGCTCTGTCATACTGAGAACAGCTGTATGTGTACTTTTGTAGTAAGTTCCAGAAGTGTAAAGTTTTTTTTTTTTTTTCTTTTTTTTCAGAAAATAAATTTTATCGAGCAATCATCTGTTCTGTGTGCATTCAGTCCATTACAAACCTATACACATGCAGCAATTGTATATTTATTATTTTTATTTTAATTTTACATTTAACTAAGAAAAGTATCCATTAAACACACACACACACACACACACACACATATATATATATATATAATTGAGCAGCAGCAAGTATTTTACAGTAAATAAATAACACATTTGCATCTAAAATATTAAAAAGTTTACCAGTCATTGCAACATGTCCAGCAATTCCTTCAGATGCTGGAATGCGTATATCTTTTATGCCCTACAATGGAAAATAAGTTTACAGAAATTACATTTAAGTAATGAAATCCCTGAAATTCTGAATATTCTGATAATTTACCTGCTACTTTGTATGTGTACAAAGAAAACAAATTACATTAAATAAAAGGAATTTTAATAATACTCATAAAGATTTAAAATTTTTATTAGGCTTTAATATGGTTAATAAGAAATATAAATATTTGAAACATGCATACCTGATAGCTTTCTTCTGCATTATGTCCATCAAAAACCTTTGCAACTAATTCATTTTCTTCTTTATCAAGAAGAAACAAAGAACACCTATGGATTACAATAATTTGGATTTCAGATACAGTCTAATTATTTGTTTCATTCCTTTAAAGTCTATAATGGAAGAAGTTCCTAATGTGTTTACCTTTTAAAAGCATGTGCACTAAAAAGAAAGCAAGCATCTAAAAATTGTACTAGTCTTTCTTTCTAAATAATTTTATAGTTCATTAATATGCATAATATCTGCATGAAACTCCTTGATAATAATTTAATAGTATGTAGTAAGGAATAACTTATGTTACTTAACTAAGTTATGCAGAAAATTACCAAAGCAGTTTATTCAAAGAATGTTAATAACGTAGAGATAAAAACATCTAACACAAACTTGTAGAGCACATGAATTTTAATTGCATTCTAAGATTCACAAAAATTTGCAAATGCTAACTAACATTCTTTTTCCACTGTATTCTTAGTACTTTTTATAGTATAGTTTTAAATAGCATATTTGCATAAAACATAAAAAATAGTAACCAAGATATGATGATAGTCTAAACAATTATTAGATACCTTTCAGCGCATGTTAACTTTCTTGCTTCAGTCATAATTTCTTTTAATAGCAGATTGACATTGTCTAAAATAAAAAGGGGGATATAAAATATATTTAATGACTTATTAAATAAAAATAATATAAAATAAAAATAAGTTTCACTACTAAATGTAAATATGGCATACCTATCTGAACTAAAAGTGTTTTCACAACCTGCAGTAGTGACTGTAAAGGAAAATAGGCTTAACTAATTATAATACATACAAACATTCTGATAAAATATCCAAAATTTTCTCTTTCATCAGTAATAAATCTGCAACCTAGAAATATAATAAAGAAATACTTTCAACCTCATAGATTCTCTCAAAAGAGAAATTGATTAAATATACGAGTTAATTCGTTATCAGATTTAAAAAAAAAAAAAAAAAAAAGTTGCATTGACACTTTAGATGGAAAAAATATTTCTTCCAGTATTATATCTCAGATATATGATTATTAAACATGGTAAGAGTAAATGGATTCAAAATTCAACACAATTAGACATTAAATAGAACAAGTACAACACAATCAAAAATTCTCATTTAAATAGTAATTATTTTTTACTCTTCAAAATATGCAGATTTATATCAGCAACATAAAAAAAACTAAATCTAAACATTTAACTTTCTTCACTATAATTTGCAAACCATATTAATCAGTAAATCCTAAATAATAGTTCAAATTTTTAAAATTTTGAGTTTTAAAGGTGGATCAGTAGATCAGTCTTTAAAATATCATTCTATTGAACAATTTCTCTCAACCAGATCAATAAAATAATGTTTCCCAACTTACACTCTATTATTTCTTGTAGAATCATTAAATTTTTATGATAAAATAAATATTTTTATGCTGACACTTAATTACTGTTTTGAAATAAAAATTTTACTCCTTTCTATTTGTAGAAAAAAATTTCAGATATTCTGACATTTTAATATTTCATTTACTTAATCAGCAAATCAGCTTATTTATAGTCGCATTTCTTCATTTGTTTTTCACACTTAACAAATATTATAATCAGAATTATTTGGTTAATTCAGGAAAACATGAATTTTTTTAGTACCTTAAAGTTACGATAAATTCAGCAGTTCTGTGTATCATATATATAAGTAATAACTTCACTTTAAAAAATAAATGTGAATATATTAAATATTGTTTTAGAAAATTGAATTTTTTTTAACATTTTCCCAATAAATTCAAATTTATAATAACTTATATAAAAAGATTTAACTACTATGAAGCTTTTAAGGCTTTATATTCAACTGACTGGATACAGTTTTAGTGACTTGACATTTTCATTCATCTCGGTTCTAAATCATGTCAGTACTAATACAATATAAAGGAAAATAATACTGTGTTAGAAAGAGCAGATTACAGCTAACTGACTGCTGTTTATATTACATATACAACTGCCTAATAAAAGTTACAGTGCCTTGCTAAGCTACCACTTTGGAAATTAAAACTTTGAGCAGACTTGAATGAACTTGAATTTACTAGATTTTCCATAAGTAGTATCTAACTTGAACTTTTCTAAGTAGTTACCCACTGATCTAAGACCTCTAGCTGGAGGCATACCAGGAATTTTCAATTCCAAGTTTTGAAAGAAGGGATTGAAGATTTCCCTTCCCAAGAAACACTGATCATTACTTACTGGAAATGTTCCAACTTTCTTTTCCTATGTATATGAGCTTTTCGGTTGCCTGTGTGACACTTAGTATTTTTAAAATGAGAGACTGCAGTATGATCTTATCAAACCATGAAATAAATTGAAATACCTCAGAGAAACTGGCAAGTCTTTGCAAAAATGGGTTTTTCTTCTCTTCCCCCATACACATCAACAGGATCAGTCTAGCATGGGCATCTTTCGGTTCAGTTTGTTTCTATATAGTTTGTATTTACCTTATATTTAAATCACTTTAACTGTTTACCATCAAACTGACATTTAACACAGTCTTTTAGTTTAGGATAATTTTTATTGCCAATTAAAAATTCAGTTCATTTTTTTTTCTGTGTGAGGTTAACGCGCAAAGAAATTTCTCATACAGAAAAATGTGTGCTAAGCAAATAAAATTTAACTAGCAGGAATAAAAAATATAGATAATACTGAAGAGATCTTATCATAGCAGTTATAAGAATTTCAGATTTCACATACAATTCAAAAGGATTAAAAGAGAGGTTTTTTGGGGGGTGGGAAGAGCTGGTATGCTAAAAATAACATTCGAGTTGACCAAAATGGTGACAAGGTGCTAAACAAGAGTGCATTTCCCCACAAGGAAACAATGTAATTATTCTTTTCAGGTCTTCTTTTATAGCCTTAACTTTACTAGACATGAAATGTCAACTTTACTAGATATGCAATATCATGCAATGACTAATGTCCAATATAGTCCATATATAGTACTGGTTCACGTCCAGTCTGATGATGTGTGTTTGATAAGTGAAAATACTGTCATTTCACCTACGAAAACCCAAAAATGACATTTCAACTGTAAAATTCACTCTATACCTGCTTTCATTCACTTGTTCCATGAGATAATGTGCAACAATTAAGTTAAATTGGCCAGGTCTTGAATTCCTTCAACTGGTTCTCACAATCTTGAGGCTCAACTAGTTGCCTTCAGTTGATAAGAAGGATGACTCACATGCAACAGACTCTGTTATCGTGTGACTGCAGGTAAATCCAGGCTACACACTCCACTATTGTTCATGGCCATTCTTTAGACGATATCGATAAGATTTAGGTATACTCATTTGGAATTTTTCTAGCAATGTCATTATCTTTTTCCCCTTAGATCACAGTATATATTTCAAGAGTTCCTGAATTTTTAATTTAATGGATGTGAGAAAAATATAAACAATCTTGTTACAAATTATATGAATAAAATCAAGTAAGACAGCAAAGAAATCATGCAAAAATTTTATATACCTGACTTTGCTTTCGAATTTTTTGTTCTTCTTCAAATAAGCGGCAGCGCAATAATAAAGGCGATACATAACTGGCTAGAGTTTTTGTCAGCTCCAAATCCTCCACAGTAAAACTAGAAAACAGATTTAAATTACATGATGATAACAATATTGGTTAACCTAAACACACTGTTTAAATATCAGTAGACTTCCAAAAAATTATGATTTTTTTAATAAGCAACAAAGTTCAAGATAAAAATTTAGATTTTTCCAACAGTAAAAAACATTTTATTATAAAATTTCATCAGTACATTGAACAAAACCATACAGAGCATAGATGTAAAAATGCGACTGCTTTTAAAAGAAGCTATCCACTAATCAAATTTAAATTTTCTATACTGGTTATAGTTTACATTCATGGACTTTAATAATGAGGACTTTAATAACGACTTTAATAATGATATGTTGATTTTGTTTCAATAAACACTACTTGTGAAACTGTTCAACCAGTGCTTGGAATCAAGACTTTTAATTTTTTTGACAGTTTTGTATGCAAAAATAAATTAAAACATATCAAGGTCCAACAATAGTATCATCCTAACAACTATCATGTGAGTTTGTAGTAGCTAATCAAATCCAGTGCAAGCAGTGTTGCAGTACAAGTGAAGATTCTAGCAACACAAAAATAATATAACTGCAGTGTTTATGAAGTTGCAAGAACCACAAGTCTACCAAAATAATCAGTACTGTGGTATTTTGTATGGTGTTTTGTACAATCAAATGTTTCCTACAAATACCATATCAGCATCAGAAAATGTTGCAGGTGATCTACAACAGATTTTGAACAACCTTCTGGAGAGTAAAAGCCTATTTTTCAGTATACAAAACTCATAATACTCATGACTGTCAAATATTGACAAAAGACACAGTCAAACATCAATATACATCAATACTACATGATACAACATATTACATTGATGATTGTAAAATTAAATATTTATGTTGTACCTCAAGAAAAAATGAAAGAAAATGCTGTTATTGGAAATGAATTTCTTTTGCAAATGGAAATTATTATAAACAAGAATGAAATAGCTATGAAAGTAGTAGGAGATGAAAATGAACCGAATTTAACGTATATAAATATAGATTAATAAGATGAGTTAGATAATTGTTCGAATATTAATAAAGCATACAGGTAGAAAGTAAAATACTTAACTGAAAATCATATTCCTAATAAAACTGAAAACCCTATAGAAGAAATAGATGTTATTGAAGATGATTTAAAAGGAAAAGGAGTCTCAGGAAGAAAAAAAGTGATATTAAACATGTTAAAGTAAATTGCAAAATGTAGAAGAAAGGATGAGTTCCATTTGTAAAGGAAGAAAGAAAGATCTATGCAACAAAGTTCAGGAAATCAAAAGAGAGTAATGAAAAAATTAATGACTCCAAAAAAAACCTACTTCAGGGTCTGAATTCAGAATCTAAGAAATTTCTTAAATATAATGCCAGTGAAACAGAAATATCAACAGTACAAGGGAGCAAGAGAAACTTCCAGCTGAAGCATTGGATTCTGGTATGTCTGAAAAATCTAAAGGAAGACAAGCCAAAGGAAAATCTACTAATACTGAAATGCATATTATTTTAAAAGATGACCAATTTATTTCTTTGAAACCCAGATATTTACCAATTATAGATAAAGAGAGTGTCTGACTAAAACAGGAAAAAACTGTTTTATAAATGGATTTGAATGCTCATGAAACACATGTTAGATCTTCAGAAAGAAAACTTTCTGTATCAGAACAGACTGTAGAAATGTTACAGAAACAGCTATCACGTGTCAAGAACTGAAAGTTTGCAGATGAGAACCAAAGATAAAATCTTCTCTCAGCAAGAAAAAGAAGTTCAACATGTTAAACTGAAAATGCAAGAAAAGCTAGCTTTAGAAAAAGATTACATCAGAAAAAGGACAGAGAAGAGATTATCTGATAAACAAGCAGAATTGGAAAGAAAAATGTGTGTCACTATGTAAATGTAAAGAATGTAAAGAATTTGATCAGTGTATGTAAAGAATTTGATCAGTACCAGAAAATTCTTAATGCTGATGATTGGTAATATTATGGAGACCTATGGGATGCTGCTGCTGCTCTAATACCATCTAGTGTGATTTCAACGTATGAATCGACTAAGCCTTAGACAAGGTCATATAAGGGGTGTAAATCTTCCACTAAAGAATCTTCTGTCCCAGGAATTAAGATTTCCTAAAGAAAAATAAGCTCTTAATTTTATATCTGGAGTTGGCAAACAGAATGATTCCACTTTTCAAGTAGATGATGATTATACTCCTGGGAAAGAAAATATCAAACCTAAAAAAAAATAATTGATGGAGAAATTAAAAATAATTTTGAAACTTCCCGAGACGAAAAAAGCATATAACCTTCGAAGATGTTATCCAAAATGTTATGAAATTAATGATTTAATGGCAATCCAATTTGGACTAAACCTTAAGTTATAATCAAAGTATTTAGGCCCATATAATATTGTCAAAATAAAGAATAATGACACCTATGATGTTGCAAAAGAAGGAAATCATTAAGGACCCCACAAAAACAACTGTATGCGCTGAAAACATAAAAAATTGTACCCAAGCAGAAGATGTGTAGAATAATACTGATTATGACATTAAAACTGGACGATGAAATAAATAACTGAACTGTGGTTTTCTTCCTAATTGTGACATTTATTTCAACAAAACTTTTCATTTTTTACATTTAAGATGAAAATAATAATGTTTATAATGATGTTTTTATAATAATGTTGTGAAAAATTGAAGATGTACTTCAATTTGAAATATAAAAGAAAATGTTAACGATGCTAGAGTTGCAATGATGAAGGGCAGTTACGATGCTTCCTTTTAAAATTGTCCTTACGCTCTTCATCTTCCATTTCTTTTTTGGTTTCAAATCAGTGATGATGAAGCGTACTTTCTCAGAGAAGGCGATACCATAAGATGACGAAGATGATATAAGATGCTCTATGAAGTTTATTTTGACATCAATATTATAATGTCTTCGAAGTCGAGGCATTACAGGAAGGCTGAATGTAGGATTTTAACTACATTTTAAGTTTAACATTTTCTATATGTTAGACAGTCTAAATAGTCTAACATTTTCCTTGCATGCTATCTAATTTTTAACTGTTGCTGCACGAGTGAAATTGATGGAACTCTTGCCATTTTGTTTTAGGAGAATGAGATGAACAATGTTATATATGTGTTAATAGATGAAAGATGTCATATTAAAAAGTTTTATATATATTAATAGATGAATGATGTTTTATATGTATTTATGTTTCATTAAATGTGTTTTGTTTCAAGATGAATTGTGACTGCCCAAGACAAGAATACAAACACATGCATATATATATATATATACATACACCTACTCCCTTACCTGTGTGTACATATATATATATATATATGGATGTTGCACAACAACTAGATGATATAGCAGACATATGTATATATATATATATATATATATATATATATAATTGCAACATTCTACGGCTAATTGTTTTTTAGTTATTCGAGATACATACATATGCATATATAGAGAGACATCACCAAAAAATTCCCTTTCAAATCCACTTTATCCATTTTACAATCTATTTTGAGAAAAACTGTCTTTTATTCTGTTCATACGCACAGGTGTTATGCAAAAAAAATCGTCCAAATGGTTTCAAGAATGCTCACAGTCACAGTGGATATTTCTGTTGAAACACAACACCTGAAATTTTTCACGATTACAATATTTCCTTCACTGCAAGGAAGTAAAATGAACAGATCGAACTTTGTGTGTTTTCTAATATTCGATACATATTTTTGAAAACCATATAAAATTAAAGAATATATTTCCTTCTCCCTCTTCACAGTTCCAATCTTAAAACCAAAAAAAATTTCTTCATATACAAAGGAAATCCCCCATATTTGTAAGCTTTTGAATCTGCATTAATACAAGAAAAGTTAGGATATGTCATCATTGATTGAAAAATTTGCTCTCAATTTATTCATTTCATTCTTAAAATTATCATTGATTAAGACATTTTAATCAAATATTAGTAATTCACCATGAATCAGCACTACTGCAATAACCAGCTCATTTTCATTGCATTTGAATGAAATATTACGCTCTGGCTTACTTTAACATAGAAAAGCAATTACAACTATCAGTCTGAAGGAAGGGATATCTTCTTATAGGGCTTCGGGAAACTAGCTCATATTCATGTTACTATGGGAACCTGGCTTGTATACATGTTACTATGGGAAACTAGCTTATATTTATGTTACACTAGCAATATTAGATGCAATATATGCATTTGCAATATTAGACATAATATGTTGCACTTGCAATTGTATGATTTACTTGCACTCCTAATGGTCAGTGATTATTTAGTGCAGCTATATACAGTAGAAAAAAATTATATAAGCTATTAGTAGCAAAATGTAAGACTAGCATAAATACATGACTGATAATCTATAACAACCTAATATATATGCATATGAGCATCGTACTCCACAAAAATATAACATATGGTCCATTCATAGTATTTTCTCTTCAGAAATGAGCCATAACTAACATAATTCAAACACAGTTTCTGATGAACATAATCGATATTGTAATTAATAAAAAACCATAATTTCCAGTATTCATTTATTGCATCCTAATGTGATAAGAATACATCATCATATTAAATTATGCTTTACTGAAGTTAAAATGCTATACTTTGGATGCATTAAAATGCTATACTTTTTCAACATCCTTCACCCACAGAAAATAAATCACAGGAGTTGAAGTCAGAAGGACTTGGCTGCCATTTGAACATTGCTAATTCACCTGATTGATCAACTTGAGAGCTCACCATTCAGGTGGTAGGATAATTCACTGGTCCAATGAGGTGAGGTCCTTTCTTACTGGAATATGAAATTTTCTAGGTCATCTCCCATTTGGGAAAAAAATCTAGATCATCTCCCATTTGGTGGGGGAGGGGGAAATAACTACAATTTCAGACAATCCTTCCTCAATTATTCAAGCTGTGCCTGAATATCAATATAATTACCATATTTTTAATATACTATACAAATTTAATATACTATATACTTATACACCACAAATATTTAATATTCAGTAAATTGCATATGGGTAAAAAATGTACAGTGACTGACCTCATATAATTTGATGCAAACTAAAATTAAGCAAATGGGTGTTTTAATTGGCATTGCTGCATAATACGATCACAAATTATGTTAAAATGTGCGTCAGCATAATAGCTATATTATTTGAGTCTTTTAAATTTCATTTCTATACAAAGAATACATTTTAAGAAAATAAACAACACAAAAATCTATCTAAATAGAATGTAATTGTTCTGGACAGACATACTTAGGAATTCTACTATAAAAAAAAAGAGCAGTTTTATTTATGTACAAAAATAAAAGTATTTTCTGATTATTTGCATCCCCACCAATAAGCCGCAAAAAATACTGGTGAGCCAATGTACCTAGTCAACAAAAAGTACTTATATAACAACTCATGATGTTCCCCAAATGTACTTATGTGGCAGCCCAGAACACCTATTCTGCAATAACAAGACTCAAAATATTGACTCAAAAAACTAGTATCATCAAACGCCTTCAACTTAATTGAGAAAGCCATTCTGTGGTCCTCAGCTGATAGGTAGGTGGGTTCATTGTACAATGTATGCAGGCTACAGTTCTAGGAAAATTCTCCCCTCATTTCACTAACTGATACAATGCATTTACAGTTAAAAAAAAAGACCAAAACCTTATGTGGAGGAAAGTACCTTTTTTTAAGGTGAAAGTAAACACAGGAATTTACGGCTAAGAAAAAAGAGAGATGTGGGATACCATTGCCTACAACGTAAATGTACAAGAGGATGTACGAAAGCAATGGAGGAATAGTTACAATTCAACGAACTAAGCTTACTTAAAATCTTTTTAAAAGTAAACAATTTTAAATATTTAAAATTATATTATGATTAATTTGCATTGCAATCTAACAGTAAACAAAGGATTTTTTTCCTGTTCACATTAAAACTTTGTTTCCATGCAATTTATTTTACAGTTAATATTAGAAAAATATTTCTTAAGGAAGAAATTAGGAAGAAAATATTTCTTTCTTAATATTTCTTCCTTTCTTTTATTTTCTCTTTCTATGAAAATTATTTCTTTAAGGAAAAGAAATAAAATTCATTCGTTCATTATAGTATGCTCGATTGCTGCTGCATTCAGCTATCACACATGCATCAAAATATTTCATTTTAAATAATTTATCCTATAATTAACATGGTAGAAAGTAATTTTTCAATATAGAATATATAACCAAAACAATAATCATCTATTCTGTATGTGCAATTTGTATTGCAGTTTTTGTCATACATACAATAGTAATCCTTTTTTTAATATTATTTTATTGTTTACACATAATAGTAATACTTATTTTTTAATATTTTAATTTTTTACACATATATATATAAGAACTGCTAATTTTAAATATTCTTTCCTCTCAAAAGACTTTATTGTGTGAAAGTAATTAAAAGATAGTAATATTATTTTTAAAATGGAAGTACAAAAGTAACAATAATCAATGCAGGCCACCTGCAGCTGAAGAAGTTTTTTGTTAAAACAGCGTTTTCACACTTTGACACATTAAATAGAAAACAGTAATAATAATTAATATCTCTTTTGCAATATAAAATTGAGAACTCTGCTTTAAAAAGGTAATTCTTAATTTTTTTTGTTAAGTTTTCAAAGAAATGTTTTTTAATATTAACAGATTACAAAAGTACTATTTCATGAAGAAACCCTCAGTCTTATAACATTGTTACTTCATAACATAATACAATAACAATGCAGTATCATTCTGCTAATAAATTTCAGTACCTAACAATAAGTTACAGTTATAAAAGTATATAAAAACATTTAGTACCCATTTTTGATTTCAAAAAATTAAATAACACAAGTAAAAAAATTAAAAATTTATTGACATTTCTAACATTACTGTTAGTAGACTATATTTATTATATGTCAAATAATCACAATGGATTTTTAAAAATCATGCCTCTCTCAGTGTTAAAATTGTTAATAATTTCATTTCTTTCCTTTGTGTAAAAAAAAAAAAAAAAAAAAAAAAAAAGGAATTTAATTCAAAAATAGTGTAACCATTTATTTTCATAAGGTAATTCAATATGCATCATTCCTCAAAACAATCATGAAGAGTTTTAATTTAAATCTGCAACCAATAATTCATTTGAAATAAAATATATTTACTAATAACAACTAGTTTTAAATCATAATAAAGTTACACACAAAAGAAAAAATCCAAGAGCCTTCAGATTTTATATTACATCCAAAGGAATGGACAGTCTCCCGCGCTGGAGATAAAAATGTTGTTTCTGTATAACGGTGCCGTTGCTCGCTTTGAAATCACCAAGTTTCTTAATCAAAAACTCATATATGCTTTACAAAATATAAAATAGGTGATAAAACAAATTCCAAATTTGGGCTTCCAGATGCCCATATTTGGGTGGAGGATTACGTTAGTCAAAATTTGATGGCTCTAGGTACCATTGTTTTACCACAATGCAAGATATAAATATACATTTATGCAGATTCTTCATTATTTAATTTCTTTAAATATGATACAGGGCGATAATATTTGGTGGCGAGAATTTGAAAAGTGAAACTACACAAAATGTCAAAATGAAATTAATAGCCCTTCTGGGCTAACACTCTTTGGTTTAAAAATAATTTATAAAATTATCACACTAGTAGTAGTACTAAAAAAATATTGTAAAATATTTTGTTTTATAATTTTTTTTTTCATTTTTATTTTACAGTATGTGGATTTTGCATAATAATGAATGACATTCCTTATCGTATTCACAATATTATTAGTAAGGTATTCCACTGTTATAATTTAAAATAAACTTAACTCTTGATGTACATAAATTGAGTAGACTCTTCCCCAGTTTCAAATGTGTGGCAATGACAAAGCACAAGACATATGTAACAGTGCTCTTATGATCTCTGCCACACTTGAACGGACCACCAAAGAATCGGTGATCGGTGGCTCTAGTCTTATGAAGACAAATTATGTACTCCAGGAGTCGAGTCTGTGTAAGGACAGATCTTAGCCAGAACATCAAGGGCCTGCCCCCCCCAGGTCGATGGATGCATTGCTGAAACAGATATAAAGATACCCAAACATACATTTTTCTTAAGCGACACTAGTAAGTTAACGACTTTGTGGGTGCATGGATAATCAGAAAGTACCATAACTATTTGCAAATGTAATGAAGAGTAACAACACTTTTAATGCATATTCATATATAATAACATAAAATACCCATACTTTTTCTTATTAATAAGACACAGAAGGCACAAAACTCGTTCTTCATCTTTGGAGTTAAAAAGAGGAACACATAAAAAAGAGTTAATCCGAATACACGAACAGTTCTTGTTACCTAAACAGAAACCCTGAAATGATTTACATATATGAAAATTAGTTAAATAAATTTTAAACTTACTTAATATCTTATATATAAAAATGATATAACAAATACATTTTTAATAGATTAATATATTTATAGATTTAGTGCTTAAAGAAAATTAGGTTACAAATGTGCTTTACAGTTGCCTCAAATATTGAAAACTAACAATATAGACATTTTATAAAAGTGAGCAACAGTAAATATTTTAATTATATACCACATATTTACAATAAAGATAAAATGAAATATAAAAAAATTTACTTTTGTGTCATTTATGCAACATTATTTTCATTTTAGCTATATTGCTGAAACTATTAATCAGCAGCCATTGCATTCCTAAAAGACAAGTGCTAGAATTCATGCATGTTATAATAATGCATGCAATAATTTCAATTAATCTAACTACGGTTTACAAAAAAAAAAAAAAAAAAAAGTCTAAAATTTAAGCCTACCACTTTCATTAAAAAATGATGCACTGTTCCATTTATGTTTTTTTATATTTAAAATGTGTTTGTTCATTTTTTATTAAAAAGATGTGAAATGTTATACTGTTAGCAATAAATATGAAGTGTATACTGTTACCACTTTCATTAAAAAAGGAACATACTTTTCTATTTATTCTTTTACATTTTAAATTTGTTTGTAAATTTTCTACTAAAAAGAGATGTGAAGTGTTATACTGTTACCAAAAAAGTAAAAATTTCTTTTAATTATGTGAAATAAAATATTTTTGAATAATAAAAAATGCACATTTAAATAAATGTTATTTACCTTAAAAATTATGAAACAAGACAAAAACTATATTTAAAAAAGAAAAGTAATAATTCAATGGCATATTGTAAAGTTCCAAGATTATTCCAATGTTTAGTATAAAAATTCTAAAAATTAGGCAATGTTTTATACAGAAAAGACTACATTTTTGTTTTCCATTCTGTTTATTTATCACAAGCTACTAGCCTAAAACACTTTAGGACAGTCTTATAATTTTAAATGTAAAATTATCTCATAAAGCATTTTAGTCTATTTTTAACTCATTTATTCTATATTGCTTTCTTCAGAAAGAAATTTTAAATCATCAGATTATTCCTATGTTTATCTTAGATCATATTAAAAAGTCACCTCCTTAAATTAAGTATAATTATTTTCAGAAATATTTTAATAACTTTTGTCCTTTTGTTATAAATGGTAAAACATTTATTATAGAATTTTAATACAAGTTATTAACAATGACATCTAACTGAACTGTTAAAATTTACCCATACAAACTGTGACAAGGAAACTAATTACCTCAATTATTCATTTATAATTTCTTCCCTAAAATAACATATACCTTGCTTTTATTCTCATAAAACTATAAAATGGTTTGCACATCATTTTCATGCATATTTTTTATTCTAAATTTCTATTTACTACATGCACATGTTTAATAGTTCATAATTCTAGATTTATGGATGGAAAGCACACAAAATATTCTACCATCCCATAATAAATTTTCAATAAATGAAGAATTCATTAGAGGAATCATAAATTTCTTAAATTGTTTGCACAATTTTTATAAAATTTAGAAAATTATACTAAAGCTTTTGATTATATTAAAGCTTTTAATCTGCCTAAAACACTTTATATAAAGCATTTTTTTACATCAAAAACCTAACTTACAGAGTAACTTATCCAAAAAGGAATGAAGGCAAAGGAATGGACAGAATCCTTCATAATATGATAAATTTTCACATCTGTGGTTTGGTTTATTTAATTTCAGCAAAGCACATGCAGCTATACCCTAAGAAGAGGGATGCTTTTGCCGAGAACTTTCTAAAGGAAACTGGCCTGTATCTATGCACACATGAAGAAAATCATGAAAACACTCTGACCATGAACTTTTCCATTTATTATTATTATTTTTTTTTACATTAAATTTGTTTTTGTAAATTTTTTATTAAAAACAGATGAGAAGTGTTATATTATTACCAAAAAAGTAAAAACTGCTTTTAACTGGGATTCAAATCCAAATTGAATTTCCAGTGTTCAGCGACTTTACTGTTTGACCATGGGCTTTCCTTCTCACAGCAATGCAAAACTCATAAAAGTGTAAGTATTTATCATAAAAGCATTTGTAACTATGCCAATATATTTAGAAAAGATTAATATCCCTTATTATTTCTAGTTTAAAACATGTTCTATGCTGGTATCAAGAAGAAAGTGGAGGACAGGCATTTTTCCTAATACCACACATGCTTGGTCTAAATCTAGAAATTCAGTGAGCCAATCCATTTGTACAATGGGCTACTCTTATGGCACTGTTTCATCACTAAAGCTGAATATGGGCAACAGAATCTTGAATTAGGAAATGTGTTAGAGGTAGCTATATTAAGTATACAAAAATCAAGACACTTCAGAAAGTCCAGGATATTTTTAAACTTCTGAACACTTTGTTTTTATTCATGAACATGTAGAAGTCTCAATTCTAAATCTTATTAAAATGAACTTTTAGGATAAAAGATCCATACGAAAATTTGATTCCACAATATTAATAAGAGGAGAGTACAGTTACAGTTACAGTACTGCACTTGAATAACTTTAGAAATTGAGTGACCCAGCTATTGATACTTTACTTAACAATCGCATAATTTTCAGCAAAACAATAAAAAATGCCTAATTTTTTATTTAAGAAAAATGTTTTAAAATAAACATATGAACAATGAATGTATGTATTTATTTTTAATTTTTGGAACTTTTTTTAGCTTGAAATCAAGGGTACTGCTATCTGGTATGTAAAATATGAAATAAAATTTTTTCAGGGTATACGAAATTGATTGTTTTTAATTTTTTGGTGCATTTCTTTTGAGCACTCCAGCCCAGAAATAACACGGACACAAGAAATTGAAGGTGAAACCTTCACCTATGAAGGAAGGGGAAGAAGCAAGAAGGAAGGGGTTTATGCAGCTCACTTGATAAATGATGAACTGAGATTTTTCTTAAAAAAAGCTCCTCCCATATTATTAAAATTTGTCCTTAGAATATGAAACAACAATTCTCTCTAAAATACTTGTTTTGATCTTATTATCAAATTGTATATGTTGAAGCACCCTACACTTGTGTTGTGTTGATGCAACAATAAAAATAAATGCATATAAAAATATAACTACCAAAGATATTTTATATTAGCATATGATTTTGTGTAAGGAATATTATGAAGATTATTTCTGTAAAAAAATATTTTTCTTCGACAATAAATTTGTTTATAATTAAGACTGGGTTAATTAATATTAAGACTGGGGTAATTATGATTTCCATTATGAAGAGAAAAACAAAATAATTTTTGTCCGATGGAACGACGATTCAGATGTAACTGTTAGTTCAACATTTGGAAAAATTCAACCCATAAAAAGTGGTTCCCTTTATTCAAGAAAGTAAAGAAAAAAGGCTTTTGTGTTTTAGCTTAATTTGTACTGAACAATACAATGCCAAAATGGAAGGCACCAATTTATTCAACAATTTAGTAACCAATCATAGAATAAGAGTTTGTGGCAAAAAATGGGTGGTGGCCAATATTTACTAATTATATTGATGTAGCCTTGACAACTGCAAGGAAAGTATCACAACTTTCTACTACTGGAAATAAAAAGCAAAGAAGGAAAGAAATGAACGAAATCAGATGCCATTTACATTCATGAAACCAATCAGTATGCTTTGTAGTACAAGATTAAAACATTTAAGAAAATCAAGTGCCCCACCAAACTGTGAAATAAAGGCAGTCGCCTGATTCATAACAGCAGGAAACGTAAAATCTACAGATATTCATAGTGAAATATGTGAAATGTATGGCAACAATGATATGAGTGGCAAAAATGAATGTCATTGTTTATGAAGTTATGAAAATAATCCCTGATAAATCCCATTTTAGTAAACTATCTTTAAACAATGAAGATTTGCTGTAAGCAGCTGAGACTCAAATTTGAAGGAGATTTGAGCGAATAGCATTCATACATGAAAATCAGTGACAGAGACATGAAAACAACTGCATATAATAGACTAACAATCTCATAGAACAGCAGTCTTTATAGAACCGCGTTCTTCCTATAACTCTTCCGCCACAGTAGCACACTTCTTTGAAGATGATATTCAAAAACTCCTTATTTGTAATAATAATTATTTAAACTAAAAATAAAATTATATAAAAAATAGAAAATGACACACAAAATCAGATTTTTTTAACCCTTTGATGGTTATGAACAAGTTCAGCTCGCAATCGAATCATGCTCCATAATGTGCGCAAACGAGTTCCGCTCGAGAGCAAGATTTCACCTGAAATGGTTTGAAACGAGCACTACTCTTGTAGTGAAATTTTTCCTCAATGCGTGCTAACGAGCTAAGTTCATTCAGCATTATTATTCTGCATTGATTATGTTATAAAGGAATCCTATTCACAAAATTTAGTTAGTTTTACTGTCCATACATGGCAGTACAGGTTCCATGATTTTTTTTCATAATGAAGGGGGAATTTAGTTAGTTTTACTGTCTACAGATGGCAGTACGGATTCTATGAATTTCTTTTCATAATGAAGGGGGAATATTTTTTTTTTACTTTGTTCTTTTTATGCGTATGTTGGCACGTTTTTAGGGTGTTTGTAAAGTAAAATGGCTCAAAAGCAAAAGTTAGATAATTATGATGATGATTATGATTGTGATACAGAAAGCTCATCAAGTTTTGAGGCTGATGAAGACTTTGTTCACAGTATGTCAAGCTCAGAAGATGATTCAAGATTATTAGCTGAAAGAATTGTTGTGGAAAAATATCACACTCACAGACATTTGAAACCAAATGCTGCTGAAACAGTTTCGGATACTTTAAGATTGCAAGCACGCCACTTTCCTGATTATATTCCACCTACAGAAAAAAAAAAAAAGAACCTACTAGACGATGTGTGGTATGTTGCAGCAAAAATGATGCCAATTCGCCATGAAACACGTGCAAAAACTATAATGCCCCATCATGTGCAATTCCATGTTTTAAAGTATATCACACACAAAAAGATTTTTAGGTAATAAGTGTATTAATTGCTTCATACAGTTTTACATTAGTTGTATTTATTTAGTCCTTTCAATTTAATATTTGTCTCATATTTATAATTAACTACTGATTATTATTTATACAGTATAAAGTCCGTAATCTGAACATCCATTATCCGGAATGATCTATAATCCGGAACTCAAAGCCACAAACTTTACGCATACGCGTAAAGAATGTGCATACATTATGCATGCGCATAAAGAATGCGCATAATGTATGCTTTATGCATGTGCACATTGAAAGAAGTGTTTAATATAGTAAACAAATAAATATTAAGCTTTTTTTTGTAAAATTTGATACCCTTTAGATTATAATTGCTCTTTATTTCATAAATTACAGTTTCATATTTTTAATTGTATAATTTCTGCATGCCATCTTACCACATTTAAATTGATAATCTATAATCCAGAAAAACCCCTAGTCCGGAATCACCGAAGTCCTGGATTACAGACTTTGTACTGTATAATTGATTATAATCATTTATAATTTACTATTTAATAATTATCATTTATTAATTATTTCAAAGTATGTAAGAACTGTTATTTATGTACTACAAATACTTTAAGAAACTTTTAAAACGCGTGAGGCGAGCTATCTATGGCATCGTCAGAGAAGGGTGACAGTTTTGAAAGAACGGCAGGGAAAAACGTGAATTCAGTAAATGAAAACTGCTCACTTCCCTAACTGTCAAAGGGTTAATAGCAAAACAGATATTTCTTAAAAATTAGCCCCTATGTACGTCTTCATATTCATAAGAATGCAAGCTATAAAGAGTAAAATATTTCCATGGGGGCATATAAAAAAAGTATGGTAAGCAAAGTCAACTTGTGAAATAATGCATGATGATAATTTTTATACTTTTAATTCAAGATTTTACCAATAGAATAACTAATAAAAATTATAACTAAAATCTTAAGCAAAATCATGTATATTCTCAATCCTACAAAACATATAAAATTTTCTGTTAAAACCTCACTACTTTATCTGCTTCCCCCTTTTATGGTGTGCGTGCATGCGTGCGTGCGTGCGTGTGTGTGGAGGGATGAACATATTTCCTTAGTACCAGGTACTGCAAGTTTGGTTTGGTGACTTTTCTCACAATAATCGCCATTACGTGTGCAAAAATTTTTTTCATCTAATCAGTACCCCCTTCAATGTATTTTACGATTGGGAATTGGCAAGGGATAAACAAGTGGCTATCCCATTTCTCTAAGAAAGAAACATTGTTTACAAGGAAAGCCTGTGTTTGAATGGCCACCTCTTGAAATTAAATTGTGACTAGAAGCTGAGATAGCTACACAACCTTTGTCCCTGCCAGGAAGGAAAAAAAAAATTGTCCAAACACAAATGTGATTTAATGAATTATGCAATCCTTTCATTACTATCAATGCATTTACTTATGATGTCAGGAGATTAATGCCTACCAAGTTTCGTAAACCAAAGTTTACTGCAGATAAATTGCAATATAATGGTTGATTAATGATACCATACCAGAGTTATGTGCCATTTCCTTGTTACGTCATCGTAAATGTTAAATTTGATTGGCACTATAAAATTACAGTTACATGTTAAGCACAGAAAAAATTTTAAAGGATAGTTCTTCCAGTGATTGATTCAAATTGCAAAATTTGCATTTCTAGCCATCAGAACTACCCTTAGTCTACTTAACTGATTTTCCACTTCATGATTTTAGGAATGACCAGTGCTTTCCTTGCTTTTTCTTCAGTCTACAGTTAGCACTTCCTTTCCATTCAAAGCCTTCTAATGTACAGTAATGCTTAAATGCATTTAATGACCTTTTTCTGCAACTCTTTGTGAACATAATGAATGCATCTCAAAGGGACAATTTTAAATATGGAAACCTTAAAAGTTGTGATACAGAAGTTGCACTTCCACCACTTATCAGTTGATATTTGAGAAGGAACCCTCACTCACTAAGAGCCTCTAGAGCAGTGGTATTCAAACCATGAGTTACAACCCCATTTGGGGTTGTGAAAATTTACAGTAGACTTGCAAGGTGGATAAAAATCCTAAAAAACTTGAATTGATGGTATATAACTAAAGGTCAGTGCTCTGACTGGGGTTATGAAATCGTTAAGATATGGAAATTCTGCTCAACTAAATTTTTTCATCCAAGCAAATTCGAAAACACTGCGGGTACTGAGACTGAGGGTTTGGGAAATTTTCGTGAAGCCCGTTTTATTAAAGCACTGCAATTTAGAACAATAAAGCAACTGTCCACAATACACTAAACGGATAAACTATGAAACATTTTATACAAGTAGGATAACCCAATACTGAAGAATCAAGTTTAATAAATGGCTGAAATGAGTTTAATAAACAGTGGTTTTATTTTTGTTTTGGTTCCCGGAAATTTGAATGTAATAAACAGCTCAGTTTATTAATGTTAAATAAGTGGTAGTTTTTTGTAATATGTTTCAAAATCCTGCAAATAATAAATTTGGTTGCTTTTAATTTTCATAATGATGAAATTACGAATATACATTTTGCTTCCAGAGTAAAAAGATTAATATTAATTATGTGATTAAATTCAGTATTCAAAGAAACAGAAATTACAGCAGACTATGAATTCATAACAAGCCAGTGTTAAAAAATAGCAAATACAAGGTAAATAAATATCTTAGGCTCCGTTCAGATGGTGGCGTAAAGGGCATAGAGGCATAGTCATAAGGGCTTAAAATACGGGAATTCCATTTACACTTGCGAGAACGGGGTGTAAGCCGTGGCCAATGGGAGAAGCTAAATTTGCGCATGCGTCGATGTGTCTACAACTTTCCCGGCTGTTCTCCTGCTCGATTGACTTCCCACATTTGCTCTGCTTGTTTTGTGACAGCGAAATCTTCTGTAGAACGCCGCTTCGTTTTATCTTCGCTCTGACTGGTAGGCACTTATCCCAAACTTGGCGTAAAGTTGAAAACTTTGAACCCTATGCCACGAGCCCTAAACCAGATTTTGTGATGTAGCACAGACTGGTTGCCTTGGCAATGGAGCTCGGCTTTAACTACTTATGCCCTTTACGCCCCCGTCTGAATGAAGCTTTAGACACGAATCAGACAGCACATACCTTGGTAAACACATACCTTTGCTTTATTCATTATAACACTAGTTTTCTTTTCCAATATGTTTTGAAAATTTGTGTTTTCCACCTATGAAGTGTTATTGAAAAATATAGCTAACAGTAATAAAATACATAATCCCATTTATCAATTATAAGTGAAATAATCAAATATAAACAAAGATTAGAGGTTCAATTTTTATATAATATTTAAATAAGCATACAATAAAATATAATGAAAGTAGCACTGTATTTCAAAACAAAAACATTATTAATTCATTTTAATATTCTAAAAATATTTAATTCTTACATACCTTGGTAAACATAAAAAATATTTAATTTTTAGAATTGAGAACTTAAATATGTATGCACTGAAAACACACACACACATATTTAGGTACTTACATACTATGACGACTACCTAGATATCTCGTAACCCTTGTAGGTTATACAGATTAACATTAAGATAGGTTATGGAGGGATTCAAACCCAGACCCTTCGGCACAGAAGTCAGCGATACTAACCACTATACCGGTTGAGCCACTATAATTAAAACTAAAATGTACTATTAGTGCAAAACAAATAAAAAACTTAAATACACTAAAAATAGCTGCTATTTTAAAAATACAGAGTAACCGTAAAGAAAGGTTCACAATATTTACACAAGATTTGTTATGCTTGTATACGACTCACTGCCAAGTGAGATTTAATTTTTAAAATATGCCCAAATTTTGAGAGAAATCAAATAATAAAATTTTACCATTAATTTCCTCAGTATATTCAATATTAATTCTTCCGCAAAATGGAAGAACAAGAGACAACGTGGGACAAGCTGCCATCATTTGGATACCTATTTAGCTGAATTTATTTGGTGGAAAAAAAAAAAAAAAGAAACGTCTTTCAATGCTATTTTGAAAGCCATTTCCTGCCACCTTCTTCGCCATTAGCTAACATTTTCTTTAAACCAGTTTTAAGTAAGTTAATTTTAATTTTTTAATTCATATTTATTATACTATGTTTAATATACGTTTATTTATAATACGTATATATATATTTGGGATTTTTGGTTCTTAAGTTCTTGTTCCTTTATAATTAGGGCTTTTATTTTAAAAGAATTTAGAAACATAAACCAAAAAATGGCAATCAAGATTTTTATCGGCAAATGTTGCCATGGTAGTTGTCATAGTACGTAAATACTCATATTTATATATATATATACATTTAGTATCACAAATTTTTATTTAAAAACAAAATTATCTCAAGTTCATTTTTTTGGCAGGGGGGGTCACATTTCTTTAATTCTTCCGACTTTTGGTTTATTTTAAGAATTTTTAGAGAATTCTGAAATTTAATGGTACTGAATTTCACTTTAATGTACAGATCTTTGTGTAATTTGTTCTAAATTTCTTACTTATTGTCTATATATAAATTATATATGTAATAACATAAACAAAAGGAAAGCAGGACTATTAATTATGCCGATTAAGTAAAAACAGGAATTACAATTTGAAGTCTACATTAATTCCAATCAACTAAGTCATACTAAGAAAATAAAGAAATAAAAAATTAAAAAACAGAAATTAATTTTATAAAAAACAAAGTGTAAAAGAAAAATTTGAAAAGAATTTATAAAGACTGCAAAAGAAAAATATGTAAAAGATAAAGGTAAAAGATGGAATCAAAAAGAAAATTTGTCTTTCAAGCACTAGCTAATAGTTACGGAAAAGCAAATTCAAGTGAGATGAACAACTGAAATGGCAGAAAATAATGCCGACTCATCAGGGGGATTTAGCTTATTTCACTCTATTCCGAACTGCTCAGACATTTTTTTCGTCCTTGTCATACATATGTAATATTAAAAATTTTTTATACTTGAATTTTTAATGCCTCAAATTTAGCTAATCCATATGCATGTCAAGAATTTCCCTACACATTACAAATCAGTTTAAAACATTCATGTAAAAATGTAAAAAACATTACAACAATACACAAGTATTAAATCAATAATAAGATTAAAACATGTAAAAAAATTTGTAAATAAAACATGTAAATAAAATGTAAACAAAAGGAGACTAAAACAAAACAACAACAAAAAAAAAAAAAAAGAAATATTATAAAAATATTCAATGAAATGAAATTGTCATATTTAAAATAATAATAAATTAGGCCAGAAAATTTCTTAAAGCTGTGAGAAACTTGCTTCAGTTTAACATACAGTGTAGCTAACATTGAATGGAGTTTTTCTCAATTCCAAAAGCAGGCATGTATGTCTGCAGTTGCCAGATTTAAGAGAAGGGCAAAATTAATTATTAATTTTCCATCTATAATTATCTCCCAAGAAAGAAAATGTAAACCATTGCAAATTGAAATTTGGAAGTGTTAATACTTAAGAGCACTGTGTTAAAACTATAAAACTTGTAATGATATTCATTAAAATCATACATTTTAAAATAGAAAAAAAAAATGGTAAATACATAAAAGTAAGGTAGAACAGAACATGCATAAAAAAGCAAGTAAATTATTGCTGATTTTCTTGGAGAGTTGACCTATCAAGGAGAATCAACCCTCCCCCAAAAAATTCACAATTCCTGCATGATCACGCTTTGTATCCTTCGGATATTTGAATGAATTCTTTTAACCGTAAAAAACTAATATATAAAATTTATATTTAAATGAATAGTTAATAATTTTGAAATATAAAGCTAATTCTCCCAATGACAATAAAAAAAGAAAATATTTACAAAAAGAATTTTATAAAAACTGACGGGGAATTCAGAAGTATCAACACATATATAATCCATGCAAAAATATTATACAATTTACTACTACACAATTATAATGTCTTAATTACATGCATATACAAAAATATAAGCCAAAAATGTATAATTCTAATGATAACTTGCAATTTAAATTCCATAGCTGCTATTATGAAGTTTTTAATAGGATGTTTGTTGGAATGACACTTGAGGGATGCTTAGGTTTACTGTTAAAAGAGGTGGAAAAGAGTGTTAAAACTGTTTATATAGAAAGGAATGGTAAAAAAAGAATTTGAAGTCCAATGGTTGGCTGCAAACCAAAAAAAAATCTAAATATTAAGTGTGAGGGTGATAAGTGAGTGCTTTAATCTCCCTTTTGGCTATTATGTAAATAAAATGCTTTGGGTCAAAACAAATACATCAAAATTAAAAATATTATAAAATACTCTATATTTGAAAGTCAAGGAAATGGAAAATAAATAGAATAACAGCCAAAAGTCTTCACCCACAATCAGCGATATTTGGATCTTTAGAAACTAAATGTTTTTGGTTAACAAAAGGAAAGTGGCCAGAGTTATTTAAAAGAATTTACAATTAAATACAGAATATACAAAGCTTCAAAGCTAACAAAACATCCAGACTCATCCTTTGAGTATGGTTTAACTCGTAACTTACTAGTTTGAATAGGAAGTTCATTCCTGTTTTATTAAGTGAATTATTAATAAAATGGAAAAGAATTTGATTGTCTATAAAACCTGTATGAGTTAAATTAGTTCATCTTTTAGATGATCTACTTCTAGGCAGATATTTTTGATTCTATTACAGTTCTATTCAATTCTAAGAATTTGATTGATTATTCTGTTGCTAAGAACTTTTCTGATAAACTGGTATCCCAGTTAATTAGTTTAATAGCAGTAAATTATCTTCTCTCTCTTTTCTTAACCTTCCAGCAGGCGCGCTTGGCAATCTTATATGAATACGCGCGTGTCGTATTTTTTGCAACATCCGTTATTTTACCGGCACGCAAAACGACAGAAATCAGTGAATATTGATAATAAATTTGTTAAAAAATAAAATATTAATCTCATTATTGCAAAATACAAATGCTAGCACATTCAAATATAAGTAAATTATTTTCAAATATAAGTAAGTTCTTATGTTAGTGAGATGGAAATGCAATGATATATTTCATTATAGAACATTTTAAATTTATTATTTAATAATTCATTTTAAAATCGAAGCTAATTAATATTCATCAAACGCGAGTATAGACAAATAAAAAAGGAGGAAAACACCTTGTAGGAAAAAAAGTAAGTTAGCATTACTTACTTCTGCAAGGAAAATTTACTTCTTACTGGTTACAAAAAACACTTTAACTAACTTTAATATTTTTATTATTTCTAAATAATAGAAATAAACAAAAAATAGGAATGAAAGAAATAAGGAATGGAAATCGTTATTGTCTCCCACCAAAGGTCCTTGTCTTCCTTTCTTCAATCAGATAATTCTTGAAGAAGCGAGCAAAATCAGTGGCTTCATATATTTTTTTTGCCATGAAAACTGATATAAAATTTACAGAGCCAAATGTATTCAAATTAAAATAATACACGGCAATTAATAACACAAAATTAAAAAATATTTTCCGAATTTTTACCCACAAACACGCGCGTATCGTAACTTTTACAAAAAAGCTGCCACGCAACACAAATACCCAGTAAAAAAAAAAAGTCAAATTGGCCCATACCATGATGAGAGTAGAAAGGAGGAATAGAAATGACATTCAAATGTTTCAGCTTCGATATGCAAAAAACGTGCATTAAAAACTTAGTTTGTCGTAAACTTTGCACATATGCAAGTGCTGGAAGGTTAAATTCTCGCTCATGTTCGTGTGAGTAATAATTTAGCTTGTTGAACATAATTTGATATTAGATAAGTGCTTGACTAAGGATACACCAATTATTTTGCAATTGTGAGTGAACTGAAGTTAGAGGATCACTGAAAAATCGATTAGGGAAACTTTTGAAGAATTACAAAATCACTTGATAATCCAAACATACTTTTAATACTCAATGATTACTCTATGGCATGGCACAGCACAATGGGTACAATCTGCTCCCCTCAACTTTAATAATGACGCATTGCGTTTTTACTAATGAATACAGGTAGACAAGCAAGAGATAAATATAAAAAGGCACAAAGTGAACACTTTAGCTAGTAATTGTAGGCAGGAAAAAGAGAATGTGTAATAGTTGCTTTGGTATTTATAATGTTGCAGCGCTTTATTTTAATCCTGTACAATGACTGGGTAACAGTCTACAGCAATGCAATTACTGCAAGGAAATTGCAGATGCTTTGAAGGGGTTGTACTTTAATTGAAAATTAGAAATTTAAAGGTTTATTGCCAATTAAGTGTCTTTCAAATTTTATATTTAATATATATATATGTGTGTGTGTGTGTGTGTTACTGGCAAAGAATGAAATGTCGGCATTCAGCAAAATAACCAAGCATTTTATAAAAATTTTTTATATAAATGCATTTTATATAGCATTTTTTTATATAAATGCTTAGCATTTTTATTTGCTTTGGCAATATTTATAAAATGCTTGGCATTGTTTTTCAAGTATAAAATATGAGTATTATATGCTTTTCCTATGCACTGTATATAATATCTAGGCATATGCTGTTTGGTCAAAGTATGTAAAAAGTTATGACAATA